TACAAGTTTATTCATATAATATTTTATTATATAATTTTTTTATTATACAATTTTTCCCATATATATTATTTTATTATATAATTTTTATTCATAGATAATATTTTATTACATAATTTTCATCATAGATAATTTTTATTAAATAATTTTATTTATAGATATTTTATTATATAATTTTTACTTATAGATAATATTTTATTATATAATTTTTGCTCATATAATATTTTATTATATAATTTTTACTTATAGATAATATTTTATTATATAATTTTATTCATAGATAATTTTTATTAAATAATTTTATTTATAGATATTTTATTATATAATTTTACTTATAGATAATAATTTATTATACAATGTTTCTTATAGATAATATTTTGTTATATAATTTTACTCAAAGATAATATTTTATCATAATCATTGTTAATATTATATAATTTTACTCATAGTTAATATCTTTATGTAAAAAACACTATCATGTTTTGTTTTTGTTTTGTCTGTTGGTTTATTATCGCTTACGGCCATATCTCGTTGAAACAACGGTTCTCATCAGATCACTGCAGTTAAGCAATGTCGAGTCCAGTCAGTACCTAGGTGGGTGACCTCTTGTGAATATCATGTCCTGTAAGTATAGATTTGCGTTTTGTTTAATGAATAATGGTTCGGAATTGTTGATCGGAGAGCGGAGTTCGAATTCTAGTCGGGTTCGTTATATTCACCTTGGGGAAGGTATGTATCCACCTCTTCGCCCCCCAAAAACTCAACTACAAGTTAATTAGTAAGACTTGTATTACTAAATAATTATTATCGCCAAAAGCAAAATAAAAATTGCGTACAAAATATTTAGAACGTGGCATTAAATAATTCACAGGTGTTGACATACCGCTAAACAATAACAAATAAAGAAAAACGTCGCTAACAGAAGACCTCGATATGTTGTGATGCTTTTGAACTCATAAATCACAAATCCTATTTGGAGTTGCGTGAGTATCGTGAATGCGGTTTTCTATCACGTGATGACAAATTCTTTTTATGTGCCGATAACTCAATAACTTTCTATACCTTTTAGTAATGTTTGTCTTTTTATTACCCCTCCCAGCTTCAGTTCTACCTTATACTCAAGCTCATTAGGTTTGTCTCCTTCTTGACTTCTTTATGTCCTGTAAGTGTTAAATTATCTAAGCTTTCTTCATTATGTGTTTTACAAATTTCAATTCCTTTTTCATTCCAGGTATAAGCATTTTTGTTTTGTTTTGATTTTGCTTTAACCCAATCTTATTTAAATCTCCGTCCATGGAATTCATCCCATTATTCATTAGAAACACGTCATTGTTGGGTAAAATCTCTTCATCTGTGAGGAAATTGTCCAGCATTCACTGCTGCGAATATTACATAGCTGCTGTGCACTCTTTTTTTTTGTTTTTAATGAAAATTTCTTGTTTATTAATACTTTTCTCAAGTTTTGCAAGATATTATTTGCTATTCCAATGTTGCTTCAGATTTCAGTGCCCTCTGTTAAAACAACCAATTACAAACTAATTCGAGCTAAGTGAAAAGCAGAGAGAACCTCTTAGTAAGTACAGTATTATTTACACAAATACTCTTGTCATTTTGTAAAGCTGTTTTATTATAGTGTTGTTGTCACGGAACTCCTTTATTCAAATATTGCGTAAGAAGATCGGTTTTTAAAGGTATCGCAAACATTATTAACTCTTTGGAAGTTTAGGAAGTCAATAAAATATTTTTTAACATTTCATTTCATACAGACATCGTGCCGTGTGCAAAAATAACGCATGATTTGAGTTAATATTTATTCAAGATGTATTTATAAACGCTATTTTTAATTTAAAAAAAAGACCGAATATTGTTAAATTGCACTAAATATCACGTTTATTTTTTAAAATAAAAATATGACAGTTGCACACTCAGAGAAATCACTGTTTTTAATCTTAAATGTTCTGATCATTTACACATTGGCCATCAATAATCCAGTTATCAGTAATCTGGGATTATATTTGGCAAGACAATTTTCCATTTCGCAGAACACCACATGGACCAGCTGTTTGTTGGTGTTAGCTACTGCATCAACTGTTATTGAAAACTTTTAAACGCTGGTAAAAGATTTTTACTTGTCTTTTGCGCATGTTTTATATAAATTTAATCTCCTGACGATTAACTCCAGTTGTAGCTCCAGTGAATAGTGCTTTTCGTGATATGAAGCACAAACAGCATAACAGTTCAAATAATTTCATTTTATTTTCATCTAATTTTTATTTTTTCTTTATTAACTAATATGTGCTGATTTACAGGTGATTTTAAATGTAAGATTTAATAGTTAGTTGTTAGGTTAATTAGCTCCACTTTGTTTTTTCCATAAATATTTTTCGGTAATTGTTCTGATGAGATACTTTCTTTGGTAGCTAGACATTAAACATTTAAGTATACGGCTAGATTGGCAGCATGTCTCATCATTTTACAGTCTAAAAAGCTAGATTTAACCGTAAGTTCTATGCTAATAGTTTCTTCTCTTGCACTTCTTGCCTGTGGAAGACTCTTCCGGCATCTTGCTTTCTAGCCAACTTTCATCTTCAAAAATTTAAATGCAATGTCAATCGTTATCTACTATCTTCTTAATTCTTATTCATTTACTATTTCTCTTAATGTTTTTCTTTTTTTCAATATTCTTTCATACTCCGTAATCATTGCGTCTTAGTAAATTGTTAAAATAACTATAAAAAGGTAAGTAATACTATTTATCTGTTCATTGGTACTGATCACTTCATAGAATATTAAGATACATATTTACGGTTCACATAAGCTATAAAAATGACTATTAGTAAGTACTATTTTTGGTCTAATATTTACTTCAAGTAGTATACTTTTCTCCCTAATTATTTATTAACATTATTCGTTGTTATTATTCAAGCTGCACATAAGCACCTCTTTAAATAGTTGTGATGGGATGTGGTGGAAGCACTCACTGTTTTAATACGTGGCCTTGTGTAATTCATACATTACATCCATCTTAACATTATTCGTTATTATTTTTCAAGATGCACATAATCACCTCTCTCTAAATAATTGCAATGAGATTTTAGTGGCAACACTGACTGTTAATATGTGGCGTTGTGTAAGTTATACATTACATACAGCCTGCCGCCATGATTAAAAGATGTTAGGGACAAACACACATTGAGAAAAACTCACAAGAAAAAAATGCACAGTAAAAGTTCATTTCTTGCCTTATTTGATTGTAATGTACAGAAGAATATTCGTGAATATGAAAGGATTATGATAAAAATAAGCAGACATAATATTTGTAATTTATTCAATCAGGCATGCCTAAAATAAAATTTTCTGCCTAAATACGCACACATATATACACACACACTTCCTCTTTGTAGCTTCTATCCATAATGAAAGTTTGCTATTGAAATTTATTGTAAATTAATACAATTATGGCACAAGGCCGAAAAGAGGGAATCGGTTGAGGCTGGTCTTCACTAACTAGCTAATCGGATTCATGACCCCTTCACTCGTTACAATTTCCTCATTCACCAAAAAAACTTATCCGTCGTCAATCAATCCTCCATACACCATAATACCACATCCTCTCAGTAGTGGGGTGGCTATTAAAAAAAAAACAAAAAAAAACTTCCAATGAAATGATAAATATTATTTACAATATATATATATATATATATACAAATCGGATGAATGATCATGAAAGGGTAGGGGTGAACCCCAAAACAAACTAAATATGAAAACCAAACAAAAATAAACATAACCGTTCGAAAAAAACTTCGAAAAAGAGAAGCCGCTATATTCTGCCCTTGGATAAAATCAAGAGGCTCTCTCGCTAAGGGAGAGGGAAAAGAGAAAATATAGACGGGTATGGGGAATCAATAAAGCTGACCCAGTCGAGATGAAAGAGGGCCAAAACAAACTGGGGAGGTTGGGAATCTCAACTTGGATCATAACCAAAGATTTAGCCGGGAGCAGGCCAGGAACAACACTTTATCACATTAACTAGGTACGCAAAAGTTTGTCTAGCCTAACCAGGGGAGGGCTCCACAGGAAACCACCCCGATGTGATATAGGTTGGCCTAAAAGAGAAAATCAAGGCTAGTCTCTTTCAAGTGAACCAAGCTCGCCTCAGTCACCCATCTTTCGCTAAAGGCTGTTGAATATAAGTTCTATCAGTTTTAATCTTCACTTCATCTTGAGCTGATGCTCAAAGAATCGGATCAAATCCTGATGAGAAAGACAGTTGCCTCGCAAGACTACCTCCAGTCACGTCACCATTCGGGCCGTGGCCAGCAGCGTTAGAAACACCATTCGTTTCGCCCTAGAAAACGGGGGCGACACATTGTCACACGCGTATGCATGAACAATGAGCACGAGCTTTTCGGGAGCGATACGAGCCATCAGGGGCGTACCCGAGGACAATGGTAGAAGGCGTAAGAAGAAGTTTCTTCCAGGCCAAGGTCAGATCGTTCACAGTCTGGCAAATACGTCAAGTCCCATATGAAGGCCATGTCATTCAGAGGCAACCTATTCCGAGCCAGTCGCCAGGCAAGCGAAAACTCAGTCACTGAGGTAATCCGCCGCTGGCGCCCAAGACCAGAAGGAGCAAAACTCCCCTCCACTAGATAACGATAGAAGACTCTCCTAGGCTGAGAAAGGTCACCGGACCTTCAAGACGTATCGACACTCGCGAAAGAAACTCTATAGAACCCGCGGCTTATGATGGGGGATGATAGTAAGGCAAGGGAAGGCATCTCTTACAATCCCCGCCATAGTCGAATCACTTGTCAACGCGCGGTGTGGAAAATTTCGGGGGTCCTCAACTGACTTCCCTTCTACTGTATCCATCTTGAATAAAAGCCCTAAGAGGGCCTTCTTTTGTTTGCACGGGCCCTTATTGAGTTTCTCCACTTTACATATTGATTCTGGGCCTGGGAACAATTTCTTTTTCTTTCTTGAGGGGTGGGGAGGGGAAGCAGTGGACGTGTGAGGGGTGTAGATAATGAACTGAGGGTGGAGGGAGAGGGAGACGGAGTACGGGAAGGGGAAACTGGGAAGCTCCTTGTTTTTGGCGAGACAATTTCTTTGGCTTCTTTTGGTGAAGCACGGACGGAGAGCGACCTGGTTTTGTCCATGACCCTCTCCGCTCTACCACAGCCAGAGTGCTTTTGCAATAGCTCATCTTCCTCTTCTTCCCCTATGCTCCTTTATAAGATGCTGTCCGAGGTGGAGGCATTTTGTCCACCTCCATTAGTGTGTCCATTTGCTGTTTCTTTCTTTGTTGTTTTTGCTGTTGTCGTTATTGTGGCTGTCGTTTTTGGTACGGCTGTTTTTATTGTTGTGATTCTTTTTGCTGCACCTCCTTTTGTTGCTGCTTCTCTGGCCACTCCTACGGTGGTGGTTGCCTCTTTGGTTGAGGTACGTCCTGTTTTGAAGGAGACAGAATGTTTGACGATTTCCGACTCCTTTTAGACCTCCTTCCAGGCCCCATCAGTGTTCATTGTGGATGTTCCCTCCTCTGCTGGCACTATGCCTATTGCTGCTGTTGTTGCTGCTGTTGTCGTTGCTGGCAGTAGTGGAGACTGTACATTTACCGGGGC